GAGCGCAGCGGCCCCTGCCTGGTGCTGTGGGGGGAAGACGTTGCTGCTCTCTGGGAGACGTCGCCCTTGAGTTGAGGGGCTGTTTTGGTTATCGCAGCTAGTGATTTCCACCCTTGACCTAATGAGTTAAAAAGAGAGTTCGCACAGGTAACGTGCAAGCAATGCTTAAACCTGCTGGGCCCAAAACGCGCTGAGACCGTTGGGGTGGGGTGACTGCTCTTGGCCGGCCTGCCACGAGGGGTGGCAGTGCTGAAAGCTGGAGGGCAGCTGTGGTACGATGTTGTGTGCTGACAGCAGTACTTTAGGGCAGGATTTGGCCTGTAGTATGTAGGAATTAGCTCAAGTCTTGGAACCAGGTCAGGTGTAAAGTGGAATTTGAACCTGTGCAGGGGTATGTGTGGACGTGCTCACGCACACGTACGTTGGAGGAATAGAGAGGGGCAGCCGCTAAGGAGGGTAGTTGGGCGCCACAGGGCGGTGGCAGGGTGTAAATGGCACTCCGAGCTGCCTGTGTACAGCCTTGCAAGCACTGCTGATGCCTTGAAAGAGTATTTAATGAGGAGTTCCACAATTATCAGACCAGGAAAATTTCAGGGAGTCATTTGCTTTACTTTTTTTTTTTTTTTCCAGATTCTTTGCTATGATGCCTTTCCCCTGAAAGGGGTGCTACTGAAGTGGTATTATTTATTCTAAATCATACAGAAATGTGGAAAATCTTTTGCTTTATTTAGGAAGAAACAGACTTTCAGTGGTGAGGATTTCTCTCAAAAATCTGTTAGCTTTTTTTGTAGATTTTAGAATATCTTCAGGACAATGGATCTCTCCAAGGAAAAGGTATGAAGTTTTGAATGCTGCTCATTTGTTGTATGGCTGGATAGCTACAAAGTACCCGACTTATTATAGTAGCTTTTGGAGCAATGATGGTGATAAACAGAACATCCATGTGCTAATAAGTGCCTTAAATTTATAACACTGATGCTAAAATAGAATGAGTTATTTTTCCAATTGTAATGATACTAGTGATGTTTAAAGAAAGCCTTAATTTACCACTTAGACCTATAATAACTCTTCATGAGTTTGTCTGTTCCTGTTGAGAATTTTGGAGTTTAGAAGGAAAACCCTAGTACAAGAGTATCTTTCTGCTATTTCTGTTTGGTTCCCCTCATTCCAGAATGGATTCAAATCAGAATATTTTAGGGAATGTTGTTGTTGATTCCAGGCCTTTTCAAAAGGCCAGTTAGCCTTTTGAAAACATTTCTCTTCTAATAAATAAGATCTGATAAGCAGATTTGTTATTCGCTGAGCTGCTCTACCTATGTTCTTTCTGTGGCATACGATAACTGTGCATGCATATTGCTGGGTTTTGACATCATAAAACACAAAAGAACTGTGAGATAGTTCACTTATGTTTCTGCCCACTCAGAACTATTCCCAGCTGTCCATCAGCATCTCACAGCCCAATAACATCAGCACCAAATTAAGACCACCCAGTAAGTCACTCTAGAGCCTTAAGTCTCCCTCCCTAATCATTTGTAACTACCTACTAGCTGTGTTTCCAGCAGAATTTCAGTGGATGGTAAGAATAAGGAAGACAAATTTTAGTCAAAGCAAATACAGAAAGGGATAGCATGAACCAAAAAATTTCATTTTAATGAGCCATAGAAACTAATACTAGTAACCTGAATAGTTATAGTGAGTAATAGCTTACCTGAAACCTAAGGCAAAATACAGCTGATAGATAATATGGTAACAGATGACACCTCATTCTCTTTCTAAACAACTAAGTGACATCAGTACTTTTATAAGCAGTCACTGTAAAAAAGTTTTCAGAACTGAGCTATGGCAGTGACTAATGCCAGTCTTGATTCACCATATAATTTGGGAGTAGACCAAGGCTGGTTAAAGTTGTGATTCAAACAGCCGTTAGGCTTGATTTTATCAGGAGTATTCCGAACCTGGAGCTAGGGTAGAGTCTTGGACCTGGTAAATACTAGCCGAGACTAAAAGAAGCTAAATTTGCCTTGAAGGAACACTATTGGCTTGAAATTTATAGCCAACTTAGAAAACAAGCTACATCTACGTGTTAAAAATACACAACTTCCTTTAAGGCCTAGAGGTCATTTTTATGGCGTTACTGTATTTCCCCATTAAAAAAATATTCCTAGCGTAGTGAAGTACTGAAGCCAAGTGAGCCCAAATGTTAGCAACAGCACAAAAGATTCAAAGTGAGAAAGTGGAGGATTTTCTCTTGTAGTCTGTTATTCATATTACTTTGGCATTACTGGTAATGAGACTTATGAAATAAGTCAGGTAGAATATGATTTTGAAATTGTCTATGTCCTGTTAAAATATAAGGCTGCAAGTCAGGATGTCTTTTCATTTAACTCCTTGTCGCAGCACTGAAGAGTTGGTGTGATAGCTGTCTAAAATAGTTAAAAGCCTATGGAGATGAGTGAGAGAGTTTTACACTTAACTGCAGAAGACACTCAGAATTCCTAAGCACTGGAATCTAATGCTTTAATCTTAGTGTGACAGTTACAGGATGTAGGCTATGGCATTTTCTCTTTCTCCATCTGACTATTAATAGAAAATCATTCTAAATTCCATTTATGTTCCTTAAGTCATACATTGGCTCAGGGTTGACAGAGAGACTGTGAAGTGCTATCATTCAGGGAGGGTGATGAGGCTTCCTCTGCTGACTTGTATTGCTTGGGATGAAATGTGTGGAATTAATGAAGGGGAATAATTCATGAGAGGAGATTTTTGAGATGCAGGTTGTGACATCAATTTGTATTAAATAAGTATGGGGAGAACAATGAGGTGTGTATATTCACTTTTTCAATGCTAGTGCCAATCTGTGAGGCTGATTGTATAGGGATGGATCCTGATTTTGGTTTATCCTTGTGTTAAGTTATAAGAAGTTTGCCATCGTGGATTTAGACCGTCTTTGGTTGATCATATTAGCTTTAATCTACATAAATGAATTATCCCTTAACGAGGGAAAAGTTTTACATTTAGAAAAAAAGGATTATAGATATGGAGGATGAAAGATAAATAAGGTCATGATCTAGATGCGCTAGTCTCAGTAAAAATATTCTCATGTATTTCAGTAACAAAGGACTGTAACTTAAATATGTTTTTATGCCAGTGCAGGTTGACTCCATCTGCTATTTTCATATATATATATAGAGAGAGAGAGAGAGAGAGTATATATCCATTTGATAATTGTTCTGCCAAAGCTTGTACTGTGAAGGAATGCGTGCTTCCAAAGTATTTTTCAATAGATTTAGTGTTGTGGGGTAGTAGAAGTCATACTTTCTGAAACCAGTTTTGATCTACTTGCCCAGATTCAGTAACTAGTCTGTACCTCTGTTTACAGACGTGTAACACTGGATAAAATAATATTGAGCTCCATCACTTAAATTGCTATGTCTAATTATAGTTCTGATTTTTCAGAATTCGAAGCGGTGCCTATTTACTGCCTCAGTAAGTTGTGTCAAGTCTTTAATGAATGCCTGCAAAACCCCTGGGTAGACCTGGAAGAAGGATGGTATTAGCACTGCATTCAGTAAAAATTTCAAGTAGCTCAGGTCGATTCCAAAGATAATCAAGTTAGAATTTTTGTGGGAGAGGACTCCCTGAGAGAGCAAAAAATAAATCTTTTGGTGTTTTTTTTTTTTTCTCCTGGAGCATTACCTGGGTTTCTTGTGTTTTAGTATCTTACTATTCAGTTGTAGATGAGCAGCATTGTTTTGAGAGCTTATGGCTTAGCCATAGAAAACTTTAAGAATATGTTATTTAGAAATTTAGTTTAGCTGCATAACATTTAGGCAGGTTAAGCTAGAAGCCAGCAAAATGCTGATAAGAGTCAGTGTTTTCTTCTCCAAAGTTTAATCTAAACAAATTAGACAGTGTTATCAAATTACTTTATATTTTTTAACTGAAACAGATAAAGATAATCCACTGTCTAGTGCAAAAACTTTTGTATCACATGAAGTGACTCTTTTGAATTTGGGTGTTAAGTGAAAATAAAATTTGTAATAAAAAAGTGCCTAATTTAGGTTATATATTTTTGTTACAAGCAGAGTTCCTGCCTCTTTTCTGCAGAGTTGAAGGTTTTTGGGCAAACATCACTGTGTGACTACCACCTAGCAAATATGCTGGGAACCTAAGCAGGCATAGATGTTGTTTGCTTTGAGTTTTTCGGTGAATTTTCCTGTGAAGTGTAGTCATGTGCTCTTTGGAATACTTCAAGTCAGAAATAGTGGGAGTGTAGCAAAGGAAGAAGAAGAAAAAGGCTGTTGATTGTTCCTCTCCAATTTTTGT